CCGCATAATCTTTCAAATTGTATTCTAGAATAATTTATGGCTATTTACTTTTCTCACCATCTGACATTTAAGCATTTGATGTGGAAACGCCAGAGGGTTCTTAAGTAAGCTCAGATCTCTAGATCAACAAAACAAAAATCTCTCTCTTATACTGACATCTGATATTCGTCGACGGCCTCCACTAGCTGCCCCCAAGAATCGAAGTCCGTTGCTTTTTTGAAGGCTCCGTGCCATTTGGCCACTTGTTTGGTCTTCTCTGACATACCCGTTCAATCGATGGCGAGCTTCGGAAAATTTTTCATGTGGAAAACGCCGGTGGTTGGAGAAAAATGGTTTGTTGAACTTGCCGGAGGAACCAACGCCCTCCCATAACCCGGCGAAGGAAACACGCCTCACTTCCGGGTTAACGACAGGGCTAGTCCACTATCAACGAAGGTGATCTTTCTTAACAACAGTTAATATTCCTCCATTATCAGCATTAATGTTTCAAATAAATACTTATATTTTTTCTTGATACATGTTAAATATGGTTTTGTTCACCAGTTTCCATTTTTCTATCATTTAAAGCAAATAAATTGAATCTTCTTAACGCCCCTTCAAACCAAGTGTAATGTACCAACTTCCGGGTCAAAAATTGATACCAAGCATCCTGTCGCCCTGCTGACCTGCGTGAAGACGGTACTATATGTTGGACTGTTTGTTTCATGGCGATCAGATTAGCTATGAACTGGTTTTTATAACTTTTGACTTGTAGGGAGTGTTTTGTCTAGCACAGCGTTATATCCATAGTTCATGATCCAAACCAGTCCAGTTCTTTTTTGGACATTATAATTTTGTCGTTCGACATCAGCATGCAAGGTTGCATAATTTTTGGTGACCTTTTAATTTGTATTGATTGTTTAGATATCCAATGATATACTAGTAATGATTACTACATGCACTATCTACTCAAGGAGCAACAAGTGAAGGAATCAAAGAAATTTGCATTATCATGTGTTTTTTTCACAAATGAAATAAGGTGGTGAGAATGAATTGATTCATTAACATTAACAATCATATTACAATGACAAAGTGATATGCCAATTTCTCAAAACATCATTGCTATAAGTATAAGTCATTTTTCTTACTTCAACTACATGTACAGTCATTAATGATAATGTGTACTAAAAACTTACTAAGTAACCAAGATTATTAACAACTAGAGGTCGGAGATCTCATGTCTTCGTCAGAGGTACATCGTTCTAGAGAAATTAACATGCGTATTCTTCACTCTTTTTAATAATCAATTTGGTCTAAAGAACAAAAGAATCTCTGTACTATTTTTTGGTACAGAACACCCTGAAACGGTTTGCCGCAGATTATACAGATGCGTCGTCACCCGTGTTAGCCCCCCCCCCTAGTTATTTGAGTTTGGACTGTTACTGGAAAAAAAACTTACTGTGTTGAAAGTGTCACGACAGCGCCGCAAAATATAATAAGAGCATATGTTATAAAGGAAAGAATCAGAACAGGGTGACTACTGCTGTTTTGTTAATTTGTCTTTATGACAAATAGAAGACTTGTTTCTTGTGTTCTTTGTGTCCTAACATTTGTACTTCTACAGTTAGTATATTCCAAATCTAGGCATCTCGTTTTTCGGCCCTTCGTGTTTTTATTGCGTGCTTGCCTTAAATTTAAGGTAATTAGATTTAAGGTCTCCAGTGGACGTCATCCATAGCAATTACTTGATGTGGCCGTAGAAAATAACCTGACATATGTCCAACCTATCCTCCCCCTGCTGAAGTTATAGTACAATCCCTCAATGTAACGACATTTGATCCCATCCCATTATGGGGTTCCCCGGCTATATCCAGCTGTCGGCTGTCTCCAAGCAGATGTAGGTGGGGGATTTCTAAACACAAAAGGTCCTATTACGGGGACATAACGACCTCCACGACTCTCATATTTGAACTCAATCTTGGAGACCACCACAGTAACATGCCTATCAAATTTCATTAACTTCCATCCACACATACAAAAGTTATCCTGCTCACAAGAAAAATTAACAAAATACCCCCTGTAGTCACAACGAAACCCCCCACGAAGCTCAGTAACGAACTTAACCTTGACCCCGACAATAGTAAGCACCACACCAAGAATTATAATCAACATTTTACAAATACTTGAGTTATCTTGCTAACAAGCCACAAACACAAAAGGTGCACTAACGTGACGCACAGACCCCCCACGAAGCCGAAACTTGTACTTGACTTCGGCCTCAACAGCGGTAATATGCCTGCCAAAAATCATGGACGTCGAATCATGCCTTCCAGAGTTATATCGCAAAATCCGCAGTTCCCCACACTCCGGCGAGACAATTTCATAGTCCTTCTGACGAAGACAATAACAGTAACGTTAATTCAATTTCCTACACGTTATGAATATGACATCAGTGTATAACTTGGCTCTCTGGAGATGGTAACAACTTCATCATCATTTCTAGCCTTCATTATGTCAATCATGTCAAAACATCTGATCCTTTCCCTCTTTTAATCTTTGCATTAAATCTAATCCTACCTCTAATTTGGCATGATCAGCCAGGTGTTTATGAAGATACTGTAACTTAACACAGGTATATTGCCATGCAAGCACACAAACTTACAACAACACCCAACATTTCATAATTGAAAGCAATTTTAAGCACAGAGAATGTAAAAGAACAGGTTTGCTGCATGTCAATAAACATAATGGGTGCTTTCTCAACCACATACTGTACTTCTAGTTATTAGGTTTAACAGAGGGAAAGAAAAACATCTATCATTCTCTTTCATCTTTCTCAGGCAATAAGATCATGTGTTATTTATACAACTCCAAAATACTGTATCCAAAGTCCCAAAAGACAATGAATATGTCATCTCAAGTCTCCAGGACCTGCCAGTGTTCTTTTGTCATCTCAGACACGGACAACATAAGGTTGATGCTGGTTTTTACATGATGTGATTATTGATTGGGACGCATGCAAATATACGGGTGGCGATGTTGGCAGTTCCTGTCATTCCACTGTCCGTTTTTCCCAGCTGTCCGTAGAAGTTTCTCCCAAAAACCGGTACTGGCCTGTTGAAAAAAAGTTAATACACACACTATATACCTTTTTCATACTCAGGTAACATTCCCATATTAGATATCGATAATCAGTCTCCACTACGAGTA